CTTGTAAATACTCAAGAGTTTCTCTGGTGTAGAAATCTACCTGTTGAATTATGGTATATGAGGATATATATATTTCCAATTTTACTAGATACCGCCAAATCATACCTTAAAGTAATGGTGCCAGTTTACACTACCACCAGCCATTTATGACAGCTCCCACTGATTCACATTTTTATAAGCTCTTGTTTTAGACAGACTTTAATTTTTGCCATTCTAATTTGTAAAAAGCCATGTCTCTCTATTTTTCTAATTTGCAGTTCCTGATTGCTGCTGAGAGTATACATCTTTCCATGTTTAGTAGCCATTCTGACTTCATATCTATCCCTTGCCAGTTTTGGGGGGTAAGGTGTTGTGGTGGCAGTGAGTTGTGCCTTACAGGCATTGTTGTAGGGAGTATAATTGACCAAGAGCCCCAGTAGCTCTGGGTGGAAATCTCTCACTCACTGAGTTTGTCTTGAGACTGCTCCTTCCACAGGCTGCTTTTCATGAGTGACTGAGTGTGGAAGGGATACAGATTTGTGTTTGAAAAACATGGAACCTACTTATTAATTAATGTGGCTTCAAGGACTCCCACATAGGTTTCGAAAACTTGCTTGTTAGGCTTCAACTACACAGTGATTTAGTGTTCTCCCACCCAAGCCTTCACTCAGGGCTTGGACTTGCATTGAGGTCTGACAACCCTCCAAGCTTTCCCTGTCTCCTTCCCTATTTCCTTTTACACACATGTTTTCTCTACATTTCACATTTAATACTATCTTAGCATAGGAGGAGAGGTCTTCAAAATTCCTTGAAAAAGTTCTAAACTGGTAGGAAATTGAAGATGTTTTAAGCATTAGACAAGACTTCATCTTTTAGCAATGCTTTCCTTAATCATATTTTAATGGTATGTAAAATACCATATTCTTCTATAGCAGCGGTTCTCAACCTGTGGGTCGCGACCCCTTTGGGGTCGAATGACCCTTTCACAGGGGTTGTCTAAGACCATCGGAAAACACATATATAATTACATATTGTTTTTGTGATTAATCACTATGCTTTAATTATGTTCAATTTGTAACAATGAAAATACATCCTGCATATCAGATATTTACATTACGATTCATAACAGTAGCAAAATTAGCAAAATTGTTATGAAGTAGCGATGAAAGTAATGTTATGGTTGGGGGTCACCACAACATGAGGAACTGTATTAAAGGGTCGCGGCATTAGGAAGGTTGAGAACCACTGTTCTATAGTTATAGTAATGATCACAACTGCTATCCAAACTTAAAAACCTAAAAAAGGAACACCCACAAACAAACCTAGAGGAACTGATAATTTACTAGCAAATTTTATTATTTGATTAAATACAAATAATCAAAATTGAAGAAAGAAGCTTGAAGAAGGTTGAGTAGACACTACTATTGTGAAGGTGATTCAATGTCTACTAAAAAAGGCACTATCACTAGATGATTTGGTAGCTGAACTGTATCTAACTTTTAAATAACATGCATTTCCCATATTATTTAAACCACTAGAGGCCTCGTGCATGAAATTCATGCATGGGTGGGGTCCCTAGGCCTGGCCTGCGATCAGGGCTGATCAAGGCCAGGTCGATCAGGGCCAGGCCAGACAGGAGGCTATGGTCTCCGGGCCGAGTGCAGAAGGAATAAACACTGGACGCTAATGCTGCCATTGTCAGCGCTCTGCCACTGTGCGGTTCCACGCCTCCCCCCTCCTCCTCTCACCATTGAACCACCCCTAGGTGGGCATGTGGAGGGCCAATCGGGGCCTACCAGCCAGGGGGAGGGATGGGGCACAGGAGGTTGGCCACCAGCCCCAAGGAGGGAGCCGGCCCTCGGCCCGCCTGGGAATGGGGCTGCATCGTCGCCACCCACCCTGGTTCCCCATCCCAGCTCAGGGCCTGGCCCCGATCGGGCAGTCAGGGCCTGCTGGCCAGGTTGAGGAACCATGGGAGGTTTGCCGTGGGAGCGCACTGACCACCAGGGAACAGCTCCTGTGTTGAGCGTCTGCCCCCTGGTGTTCAGTGCGCATCATAGCAACTGGTCATTCCGATCACTTAGGCTTTTATATATGTAGATACCAAACCATAGAAACAGATGGCAAGCTCTTCAGTTCATTTTCTAAAGCCAAAATAGTCTTAGTACCCAAATGTGAAAGAAACTATGAAAAAGAAAACATAATCATATTTATGATGTAGATATTAAAATAAAATGTTATAAATAAAATATTAATACATAGCAAACAGAATGATATAAAAATAATAAAATATGACCAATCAAAATTTATGATAAGAATGTAAGGGTGCATCAATGTAAAGAAATATATAAATAAAATATAATTTGTTATATTGACAAAGAGGAAAACCAAATAAAAGGTCAGTAAATGTTAAACGAGTCTTACGTAAAATTCAGCAGTCATTTCTTTTTTTATTTTATTTTTTTTTAATTTAATTTTATTTTTTTTAAATATATTTTTTATTGATTTTCTTACAGAGAGGAAGGGAGAGAGATAGAGAGTTAGAAACATTGATGAGAGAGAAACATCGATCAGCTGCCTCCTGCACATCTCCTACTGGGGATGTGCCCGCAACCCAGGTACATGCCCTTGACCGGAATCGAACCTGGGACCTTTCAGTCCGCAGGCCAACGCTCTATCCACTGAGCCAAACCGGTTTCAGCAGTCATTTCTTTTTTTAAAATTAATTTAAAAAAATTTATTTTCAGCAGTCGTTTCTAATAAAAAATCATAGTACAAATAGAAGGAAACTTCATAAATACAGTATTTTTTAGGTAACATTCTAAAGTAAACATTTTAAATGGCAAGAAGTTAATGCCATTTATCTATAAGTAGGAACAATATTAAATATTCATGAAAAGATTGTTCACCTAAAAAAAAAACAACCCAAGGGATTTTAGCAAAAAGCAAAGAGACAAACAGAAAACAAAAGTCTGCTAGAAGTAATGAGGGAATATAAGATGTATGGATCATAGTTAAGCATACAAAAATAATTAGCTTTTCTCTAGACTAGCAGCAACTGTCTCGAAATGGAAATAGAAAGTTATTTAATTCACAATAATAGAAAATCGTAAAATACTAAGGATATTAGTGGGAATGTAAATTGGTACAGCCACTGTGGAAAATACCATGGAAGTTCCTCAAAAATTACAAATAGAACTACCATATGGACCCAGCAATTTCACTTCTGGGTATTTATTTGAAGGAAATGAAATCACTATCTCAAAAAGATACCTGCACCCCCAGATTCATTGCAGCATTATTTATAATAGCCAAGACATGTAAACAACCTAAGTATCCATCAACAGATGAGTGGATAAAGAAAATGTGGTATATATACACATATATACAAATATTATTCAGCCATAAAAAAAAAACAACAACAACAACAAAAAAAAAAACCAATAAGGAAATCCTGCCATTTGCAAAACCATGGATGGACATTGAGGGCATTGTGATAAATGAAGTAAGTCAGACAGATATATTCTGTATGATCTCACTTATGTATGGAATCTAAAAAAAAAACCCTGAACTCATAGATATGAAGAAAAGATTGATGGTTGCCAGAGTAAGGAGTGGGGGTTATCCTACTGCATTGCCTCCAACATGACGTCATTTTTAACATCAGGCCTTTTGTCACCCCAGCTCAGGATTATTGACAATAAGAGTTCCTTGGGGGCAGTGGTTAGAATAGCTTCAACCTATTGGAGCTGCGAAATAGTAATGATCACTGTTAGTTTGCCTCCTTTGTGAGTTTAGAGTTTTGTAGTAAGCATTTGACAATTTAAATATAAAAAATGTTGACAACACAAAGGAGATGGTGGATTGCTTCTGGATTGTCAAAGGAAAAGGAGGAATAGTATAGAAGTGTATTTTTGTAAAGGGAGAGAGAAGAAGGTAGTAGCAAAAGAAAAGAGCAGATATTTGAAGATGGAAAGGGAAAAGGTAGAGAACTTTTTTGAATTAAAGAGAGAGTAGTACCTATTTGACTCTTTTCATCCTTCAAATCTCAGGCTGAGCCCCATCTCTTTCAGAAAGTCTTCTAGTATTTTCTGTCTATTATATAGATACTTCTGTCACCTGTACAACTAATTTGTAGGTTAATTGTGTACTATTTTATGACCTATATTAAAATGGTTAATGAAAACTTTTGGATGTTATTTAGTATCCTTCAGGAGTCAAAGACTATTTCTGATAAATTCTAAACTTCTTTTACCATGCCTAGCATGGTTGTTGCCACAGAAAGTTTATTACCTGGGAGAAAGGATGACACAATCCATGTGGAAGGAGGGTGACAGGAGAGGCAGAGTGGGTGGAGAGGTCACAGGAATGAGATGGTGGATGGATGAGTCAGTGAGAGAAGTTTGGAAAGGAGTTGCCTTGTACCCAGGACTACCCACTAAATATGTTTAGATACAGCAGTGGTGG